ATGATTAGTTTTCGTTTTTTTAAAAAGTACTCTAAACTGTATAAATAATGTAAAATTAAATTGAATTTATTAGCCAAACGAACTTCTGCCTATGACCCACGACCAACATAATTCTGCCCGGAACTATGTGCAATTTTTAAACGGTTAAAAGGTTCCAATCTTTACCGAGAGAGGCTCTTTTGTTAATCACTAAATTATGTATTTTTTAGTGAGGATAAAGAGTTCTAGTCTAGGACTCTTTATCCTCATAAAAAATACATAATTTAGTGATTAACAAAAAGATCCTGTATAGGGACTTATCAAACACCCAGTATAGTTTAGTAATTTATTTGGTGATTAAAAAAAAAAGGTCCTAAAAGGAGTCTTGTTGGATAGTTTTAGTAGGAAAATATTTTTGTGCAACCGGACCTCTGGTAGAGAACAGGTCTAGCCTTTTTCAACGTATGTACGTATGTGAGTACGTGCACACTTGTCAGTGCACTTCTGCAGGTACTTATGAATTAATAAACACTGCAGTGTTTTTACGGATGTAACGCTAAACCACAATCACATCTTTAAAAGTATGATACATAAGCAATCATAATATTGCATATATATTTACATATATATAATCGTAAAATAACAAAATACATATGTTAACAAAAACTAGAGGGTTAACAAGATCAACGTGTCTTTTTTATTTTACCACGTTTTTTGTGTAAAAACATCAAATTCTTATAAATAAAGGCTTATAACTAGAATTTTAAAGAAATTTTTTTCGCGACTAATAGCTCATCGACATTATTTTTCCTTCTATAACTAAATAAAGAATTACATCATTGAATGCACATAAAAAAAACATTTATCTAAAATAATAATAAATGGTTGAAAACAAGGAATGGCTTGAAAAAGCTATAGCAGAGAATTATATAAACATATTCGATTATGCAGATTTTACTAATTTTAAACACATCGGTGATGGGAGTTTTGCAACGGTGAGAAGGTAGATTAATGATCATTTTAACAATTTAAGCTTATTTGTTGCTGTGTGAGATTATTATAATAATTAACATTATATAATTATTATAAAATTTCATTACAATAGTGCCAACTGGCTAAGTCGTGGAACAAGAGTGGCTTTGAAAAGTCTAAAAGGAGGATTAAAATTTGATGAAGTTGCAATGCGAGAGGTATATAAATAATAATAATGTTGATGATATTTTATTTTAGCGCATCTAATTAGCATAAACAAGGTTTACCTATTATACTACAGCTCAAACTTTTGCGCAAAGTTAATTATCATCCGAACATTAATCAATTTCTTGGAGTCATCAAAGGTTTGTGTTTTACTTCATTTTAATCCATTTTCAGATATACGATATGAATGCTAGCTTATTATTAATTTAAAGACCCTCTAAGTGAACACCATGTAATGGTGCTAGAGTATGCAGACGGTGGAAGTCTACGCGATTTCTTAAGATTGAAATTTGAGTCGTTGAAATGGTCGGATAAATTTCGTATTGCTACAGAGATAGCGCGAGGATTAGGATGTTTGCATGCTGAAGAAATAATACACAGAGATTTGGTAACTTTTTCGACAATATCGCATTATCACAAATGTTATCTAATTCACACTTTTTTTTTTTGTTGAAGCATTCGAAGAACATCTTGGTACATAAAGGGAAAATGATGATTGCTGATTTTGGTTTATCTAGACAAATTAGTGACAATCCAACAAATTCAGTGGCCCATGAGATATCTCAATATATTGACCCACAGTCCTATAGGAGCTCGAATTATAAACGAGATAAAAGGTCAGACATATATAGTCTTGGAGTCCTTCTATGGGAAATATCAAGTGGAAAGCCGCCTTTTGCTTCAGTTCCTAATGACAAACTTAGCATTGAAATATTTATTGGAAATAGAGAAGTGCCTATAGATGGGACTCCCGAGGCTTATGTTCAATTATATACACAATGTTGGCATGATAAACCGGAGAAACGTCCTGATATCAAAGAGGTTCTTGTAATATTGAACAAACTTTATGTTGCGGCAAAAACGCAATCTGGCATATTATCCCAGGATACGCAACTTTATCTAAATGACAATAAAATACCTGTGTATAAATCTTCATCTGCTAAATCAAGTCCCGAGAGTGATAGTTCTCGGAATAATGTGGTTGCAACTCTAAATACGGAAATAAAACCCAATATCTACTCTGGCATCGAGTATAAAAAGACAGCCTTTTCGGAAATTTCTAATTTTCAGACATGCAATCAAATCATTAATAACAGGAGAAGAAGCTTGTCTTCTATTAGAAATAATATTATGCAACCCTCCAAAGACTTTTGGAAAGAAAAACTTTCGGTGATTAAGGAAAATTATACTGTGAATCTATCAGATAATCTTTCGTTAGAGGAAGAGACATATTTAAAGTTATCCTCTGGTACAAAGCCAATATATCATGTGAATAACTTGTATTCTTTCTCAAAAAGACGTCCGTCTGAATCGAAAAGCCTAAAACAGACCGTCTCCATATCAGATTTAAAAATCACCAATTCTTATTTACCAGAAGATCAAATTGATAGCTCAACATCACTAGCTTTCAACAAAGAAATAAACTATCCTCAGGTGAATGATTTTGTCTTATACAATGGAAAACCCATGGAATCAATTACACCAGTTATAGATGATATGCATGCTATTGTGATTAAAGAACAACCATTTTTTATTCCTTACTCTCAATTTAATATAATTGCACCATTAGATTATGGGTATTTGGGTAGAAGTTTTAAAGTATATTGGAAGAAAACAAATAATGTTGTTGCTCTCAAAAAGTTGTATCTTAAAGAAGAGGCTCGGAATGATTTTCTGGAGGATTTTCTAAAAGAAGTAAAAATACATTCAAGGGTAGAGATGTGTAAAAATATTAATCGACTTTTAGGGATAACTCATGGTAATTATTTATCATTTCGAGATGTCTTTAATAAATCAGTTAAATTCTAATTGTGTAGTAACAAAGTATGTTTTGAATTTATTTATTATATAGATGTCATCAACAATATATATATGCTTATAACAGAATATGCGGACAAGGGAAATTTAAGAAAATATTTAAAAAATAACAGCTCATTTATGACATGGAAACAAAAGGTTGATTTCGCACTTCAAATCACAAATGGAATTCAATATCTGCATAGTGAAAATATAATTCATGGCAATCTTGTAAGTGCTCAATTAAATATTGAATTAAAATTTTGTTTCTATTTATTTACAATCAAATTATACCATATATTGTATAATACAGCATAGCAAAAATATATTAGTTCATGACCATAGAAACATAATAAAGATAACAGAATTTGGATTCACAAGGTCTCTAGAATCTGATCCACTGAAAAGTCATTTAGGTGTAATAGCTTATATTGCACCAGAGTTACTAAAACCCACATCCATATCTACATTTGAAAATGATGTTTCAAAATCTATGAATTTATCAAAATCTACAGACATTTATAGTTTGGGGGTATTGCACTGGGAACTTGTTAGTGGATATCCTCCATTTAAAAATTCAAATGAGACTAAACTAGTTGAAGAAATATGCGCGGGAAAAAGGGAACATCGAGTTTCAGGCACTCCGGATGATTATTTTGAATTATATTTGGAATGTTGGAGTGACCAGCCAGAAAATCGTCCAAATGTTGAGGTAGTTTATAAAAAATTGGTAAAGATAATGGAAAGAATCAATAGAGAAGGCAAGTAGTAACAATTTTAATTTGCTTTTCAGGGAATTATTAAAAACTTCTTTTTTAAAATATAGAAATCGCAATGAATACATTTTATACACTTAAAAAAACTCATGTTCATAAAAAAAGCCAATCATTATGGGATAATATTTCATTAACTAAATCTTTAAACAAAAATTTTACATAGGGTATTAGTTTTTAAATCTGTACACAGTTTTTTTTCTATTGAATACCTAGAATTTTTAATATATAGAAATTTTTAACTAAAAAAAAGCATATAAAAATATTTTTATTAAATTTTTCACTTAACTCTATATTTGTTTGATACTGTAATAAAGATTCATATATCAATTTATTCTATAAAGCAAGGCTTTTGGTTCTTATAGGCATGTTAATTCTATATAATACTTAATAAAAATATTGTATAAACTAAAATGCCCATATCAATGAATTGACCTGTTTCATTTTTCAATTAGTGGATAGAATTTTTAGCATTACCAATTGAGGGCGCTGTAATATGATCTATAGTCTCCGATTTTCACATGACATTGTCATCTGTATAGGCCACATCTTTTTTGTAAAGTGCGATAAGCGCGTTACATATGAATTATACGATCAAAACTTTCAAGGAATTGAATTTTTTTTTTAGCACAAAACATCGAACATCGTAAAAAAAAAACATTAAATTTTCACATTATCAATTATCGACGCATTTTAAAATTTTATATACAGGTATATAAATCTAGATCGAGAAGATTTTTAGTAAAAGTAGCTATTAACAAACAAAAATAGGTGCAAAATATATGCGCGTACCTATTTATGCATTTTTTTAAAGATGACAATTATGTGTACACAAATCGGGTATTGAGTATTCGAGTATTCGTGGTGTTCACGAAAAATAACCATTTAAACTATTTCGAAAATAACGACAATATTAACACTGTGGTTTGAAGAGCTATACAAGGCATGAATATCACGAGAAGAAACGTATCAGATTGATAAGGTAGTAAATAAAAGTGTTGGATCAAATATATAGGATATGAATCATACCGGTATTGTAAATAACAAATATGGTCGAAGAAGTAGGAAAGTTGTATACAGTACAGTACATTACAATCAAGATGTCGTATTCTATATATAATTTGCCACCAATAAAGAGTTTTAGCAATTGTGATCGTAATTGAGTGTTTTTTAAACATTCAAAGACTAGAAAACTCAGATTTTCAACACGAAAAATTTCAATATATTTGTTATTTAATAAATTATGTGCGTTATACTAACTCCAGAAAAAAGCTGGACATCAATTATTTGCATTCGTAGTAGACAGCTTCTTTGCCCGCGAACACTACACATATTTGCTTCTCAGTTTCATGCAAGAATTTCCTTTACACCTTTAAATACATTAGGCTTTTTTTTTTCTTTCAAATAAAACAGTTATTATTCCTCGAATAAATCATTATCAATGACAAACCACTCACATCTCAACGCTTCTGCAGCCGAGACATCGTCTATTGCTGCTTTTCGTAACAAATCCCTAAATTTCCAAAAATACTTGGAAAACGTTTTAAATTCGCTATCACCCACCTCATGCAACATTCTCTCAATTTGCCATACGTCATAACAGGCTTTGTAAATTTGTCCCTTCTCTGCTTTCTTAGGCCAACGGTCCCACAATGTGATGTCTAACACTTCATCAACTTTGCCTCCCATTTCTAGATCGATTAACAACCATTCATCACCATCATTATCATTTCGTTTCGTCACTATAACAATATCGTCACACACATCATTGTGTATAGTTTGCTTCTTTATCTCATTACTATCTTTATCTCGTTTTTTAATATCATTACCATCATGTCTCATTATATTTCCCCAATGAATATCTCGGTGCGTCCATCCGACTTTATGCATGTCATGAAGCACTTCCAAAACAGTCCTCAAACAACTCTTCCATTCTTTCTCATCTGTCGGATAATAATGGTACCCAACTGGTTGAATCAGTATTCTACAAGCACCATCTTTTCCTCTCACGGGTGAATCAAAGTTTCCGTTAATATCCACACAGTGCACTAAATTTTTGATATGCTTCGTATCATTATAAATCGCGCACAATGTTTCAAACTTAAAAAATCGATTCATTAAATTCGATGAAATGGTTTTTTTCACAAATTCTCCGAAAAATTCGATAATAGTTTCACCATTTCGTTGTACAGATAGATATAATGGATGAAGTGATGATATTGAAGGTATATGCGTTATAGAAACATAAATTTCCCAATTTCTGTAAATTGTTTCAAGAATTGAATATATGTTAATGACTGTTTTTATAATTCCAAATCGATCCATTATGGAATCCAAGTTAAATTCTTGTGAAATCTGGGTTAACGGTGTTGTCACTTCAAGATTCGGATTAAAAATGAAAAATCGTAGTTTCGAGCCTTTGGAAATATATGCAAATGTATATGGTAAGTTTCCGTAATACATTGATTTCCAATGTATTTTTGAATGAAGATAAGTGATTCCTATTTGCCAATCTGTTTCTTCAGCAAGTTGAACTCCTTGAAAAACTAATAAAAGTTCGTTTATCCAACACATCCAATCTGGACGAAATATATCTTCAGGAGAATGAATTGATGCTGATCGATTCATATAAAGCCATTTACGCGTTCCAAAATGGAGTACGGAGAGTGTACCTTGAATGAGAGAATCGATAACAATCGTATAATTTGATAACACTGTGTCATGACATGGTAAACTAATGGCGTTAATGAAAGGCAATGATAACGTAGGTGCTGTCATCAAGTTATTACGCTGATCCAAGCATCGTTCTTGTGGGATCAAATAACAAAAGATTTCCGGAATTGTCTTTTGGTAAAGTTGAAGATAAATTGATTGTATAGGTATTCGTAACGTTAAAGGGCTGGAAAGATATCGACGAAGATTGTGAGCTGGTGGTACTAGATCCAATTTTCGAACTAGGAATTCTCGAAATAACCAATCGTCATTGACGGCCTTCTTTTGAAGAGCATAACCCTCAAAAAAAAAACCCCCCGAATAAATTGTTAGTTACTTATAACCATCATATATAATTATTAAAATATTCAGCAATTAAAATATTATTTACTGGTGTTTTACGTGTATCGAGCCCACCAAAATTCCCTGTATAAATAAAATTAATAAAACTATCTTGAAGAAAATAAGATCAGAGAATTTGTCAATTATAGTCACCAATTGGATCATAATAAACCTCGTCTTCGTATCGTCCTAAATGAATGGCAGTAAAAAAAAAAAGGATAGTAGTTACCGACCAATCTATAACGCATGAAACCTTAGTTTATAAACGTATTCTCACTAACCATTTAACCTGATCACCTCTCCTTCCAACATCCAAATAACCAATCTTTTTACTCCATCTGCACAACCAATGATCCTTATTAAGTCATTTCGATCCATCTTCAAAAGCTTCTTACCATCAATTTGTTGTGACACAAATTTTTGCGAAAGCGATTCCGTCCACAGATCACGCTTAAAATAACCTTGTGTGGTAAACATTGTACGTAAATGTGTGATAAGCTGAGAAGAAGACCATGATTGTACCTGGGAAGTATCAATCGTTGGAAAGTCGAGCGGTTTCCAGTATGGAGCAGAAGGATATTTTTTATAAAATTGGGTGTTATTTTTATTTCGATTTCGACAATTTTTTGGAGATTTAACTAAGCGAAGTCAATGTATTCGTGAACGTATTTTAAAAATTGATGCATGCGCACAATAGAGTATCATTAAATCTAAACCTTTTTTATTTCTTGTTGAATTAACCGTTTCTCCAGAAATATACATTTAGCTTGCCTTTGATTAATGATAACGCATAATATAAAACAAGATAAAAAGTAAAATTCCCAAAATTCAAGTTTATATAAAGTTTTTGTCATTTTTATACGATGTTGAGAACAATAGAGTAAATGTCATTAGGAATGACCCCTCAACCTTTTCTTAATACCGGAAAAACGATTAACTTTCAATATTAAATCGGATTATTAAACAATAGCTTAATATCCGAGTTTTAAAGTCCAGATTTAAAAGATTAAGTTTCATTAACAAAAAATATAAATTTCTTAAAATATTTTTTTATTTGTATGATAAAATACGATACGTTAAGGGAAAAAAAAAAACTCCGATAAGGAGAACATTACAAAATATGCTTATTACATTATAACTACAGGAATTAACTAAAAATCTCACCTCCTATTCGAGATGATTATATAGTGATATTAATTTACAGGTTGGGTTTTTTTATTGTACCTTACTTATAAGATAAAATGTTGACAAGATCCCAAAAACTGGAATGAAACCGCAATAAAAAAAAAAGATTAATACCTGCACAAAAGTATCGTATAAGGTAATTTTCTTTTAAAGATAATCACCCAGCAATGGGTATCTTAGGTCGGATATAAACTTTCAACTCGTCACAGTGTCTAACCATGGTGAATGAAGTTTTAAGTGGTGCTTTCTTATCAACTAATTCAATGTCGAATCGTCGGAAAAGTAAAGCCGTCAAAAGTTTGAGTGTTGCCATGGCAAAATTTTTTCCAGGACCTTTTAAAATGAATAAATAATCTTTAAGTTATATTTTTTATTTTATTTTATTATTTTTTTAGTCAGTCTTCTGACTAAGAATACTTACAAAGTCTTGGTCCACCACCGAACGGAATATATGCATTCCTATCTGTCTTCATTTTGTATCCTTCTAAATGTCTAGCAGGCATAAATTCCTCCGGATTTTCCCAATTATTTGGATGCGTTTGTGTTCCATAAACGTTAATAAACACCGAAGTTCCTGCTTTCCATCTCATTCCACCCAAGGTATCGTCATTTGTTGCCATCTTCCAGAGGAATGGTAATACTGGGTTTAGACGTAATACTTCTTTGATGAATGCTTCTGTATATTTTAATCGGTCAAGAGATTCAAACGGAATTGATTTCATTGGATCAGAGCCGAGAACTTCATCAAGTTCCTGAAGGACTTTGGCTTTCTCATGTGGATTTTTACACATATGCCATATAATGTAACAGAACGAATCTGATGTCTATGTAAGAAATATATTGGATTGATAAGTACTGATAACAAACGGATCATAATAATGAACAATAATACACGATAGAAGATGTACCGTATCAATGCCAACGCTGAAGATTTCTTTAAGATCGGCACGTATCTCATCTTCGGCCATCGGGTGTGTAATATCCCCTGTAGAAATTATTCCAAGATCACGAGGTGAATTTGTTGTCAACAACAAAGTTAACATGTCCGGATTCAAGGGCTCTCCAATAGGTGTTGCATCAATCTCGGCTTTTCTTTTTCTAATAATCGACAACAGTATCTCATTGAATCGTTTAACTTGATTAACGTATTTAGTGTTATAATGTCTTAAAATATAATGACGAATAAAGGGTGGGAAGAAGAACATAAATGAGGCTGCGAAAAATTCATTTTTAATAGAAAATATGATCTCTTCAGTAGCATCAAAAAGTTCTTTAGGATGTTCGGTTTGTTTGTTCTTCGGAACTAATGTATTATAATATCCTGCCATAGCATGAGCAGGCTTTCCGGTAGCTGAAAGATGCATACTATCCACGAAAAACCTAAACCAAAACTTTGACATATCAACTGGAATTTCACCACCAAGAGTAGTAAGATATAATTCGGCTTCCTTAAACAATTTTTCTGTGGCAGATATAGACTTTTTTAAAAATTTCGGTGACATTACAACAGTACTAAAGAATCTTCTATTAAATTTCCAAGATTCATAATCACGATTTGCCGCAATTCCAATGGTTTCAAGACCAATTTCTCTCATCCCTGGGCTTGATACACCACGATTGAAATAATTATTTTTTGTAGAGCTTGCCAAAACCGGTGCTGCGAGGTCAGCACGGCCTAGCCAAATCGTTCGTTGACTGCCATAATAAGTTTCAAACATATCACCATGTTTACCTTGGAGCTTGTGGGCCCAAGCTGCAAGATCGCTGCCTGTCTGGTGCTAGATAATGAAATGGATATTTGTTAAACTTAAGGATTTATTAAACCTTTTAATAAAAAAAAAATTTCATATATACTAGATTTCCGATTATCGGCCAGGGCATAGGCCCCGGAAGAGGGTTCTCTCTGGTGAAATATCGATAATAGAAATGCGCCACATAGACACATAAAAGTAACGTGACTACCGAGAGCCACTCGGAAGCTTGGAGTGAAGAAAGGTAAGATGTAATTGACATTTTTCGGATTTAGGGATGTTTACTTTAAAGGCTCTCGATGTCGTATCTTGAAAATTAATAATATAAATGAGTGATTAACTGTTGGAAGTTAGATATGGACGAAATTCTCCACCCTCTGCTTTTTATAGGAATTTGTAAGTACATACATTCATTTATCCTATATTGTTCATAAAAAATTATTTTTCTTTTACAACTTTAAAGCAAATCTTAATGCTGAAGTATTTGTTTATTTTTGGATATTTATGTGATATCATGACGTATCAATTGTCCCGCGTTCGTATTCAGTATTATTCTTTGCCTCTAAATCATAGTACATACGCACTATATATCTTGTATTACATAAATAACACTATAATTGTACCCAAGCATTTATTAATAACTATTGTCTATATGTTTATGGAATTTATTAAGTTCGATAAGTTACCAAAAACAATGCAATCAAATCGAACAATACCTTAATTGTACAATATTTAATGCGTTATTATCAAAAACGAAAATTATTGGTATTGGTATTATTGTTTTTAGTAATGTGCTGAAACAATATTACAAAGTGAACAATACATGATTTCCGGAATCATATGTCACATGATCTGATTCGATAGAAGCAATTGGTTCTAAATAGGGTCCATGGTGAACTAGTTCGGACAGAGTCTAGACCGGACTTTTTAGGGGCCTAATTACAAACATAAACATATGAAATTCAAACTGTGTGGTGCTCACGTTAAAAATAATTTTTTACATTGTTCTTGTGATTTAAATCACTTTAAAATCAATTACAATGTAAAAAAAGTATTTTTAGTGCGAGTAGGATTATGCACCGCAGTTCCTGGACACTACTCTCGAACGAGCGAATCCACACAAATAAAATTATATTTGTCAGATTCATTTTAGCGTGCATTGTAAAAGTGACAACGTCTTGCTTATTTATTTTTATCGTTTGAAGCATAGCGGAGAATTCAATTTTCATGCAAAGCTGTGGTCCTTGATGATTTTTTAATAAAAATATCAAAAACGTAAATTTGTATTTTTTGTCTTTCGTATTGTATTTTGTATATACAGTCAGACCTCTCTAAATGCATATTCCCTAAATGTATAGTATATGAAAGACCTCTCTAAATGCATGGCAATACCTTTCAAAATGCAAGATATTTTGGCCGCTTCACGGCTATGCATTTAGAGAGGTCTGGTTGTAGTATATTATGAAATGGGTCAGTACTAGGGATGTGAAAAGTTCGGTTCGGTCCGACTCGGTTCCATAAGTCGAACCTTAATTTGAACTCGGTCCGGAGACAAAGACTCATTCTATCATGTGAAATTTGTGATTCCATGTGATTTATTCAAGTAATACAAGATAAACACGCTTAATTTTAATACCAAAGTAATATATGATTTGTTACTTTTACTAAAACGCACTTATGATGTTTTTACACTATACATACAATTATCTCAAACTGGCTAATTAATGGGTATGGTATGTTCTATTCTACACTCTCAAAAATCCTTTCCAATGAGAAAATTTGTGTTAAAAATTTTGCATACAACCTTTAAAATTTTAGAAAAATACTGGCACTAATAATTTATTTTAAAATATTAGTTTTACACCAGTTTTTTAAGAGCAACAAAGCTTTTACAGTTCACTCTAAAGGGTAGGTTTGATAGTATTTTTAGTCAGAAAAAATGTGCATTTACAAGAAATATTAGTAACTTTCAAAAAAAGAAATTTGTTACAATAGATGCTAAAATTGGATATAGGTGAATATTATTTTTTCACTACAAAAATGTATTAATTCTTGATTTATTAGTAAGGTGAGATAAGAGTTCATATTATTTACAAGTTTGCATTATCTTTTTTAGTTAGTATTAATTTTTTAAAAAATTCTAATAAATTTTTTATTTGAGATATTGCATCTAACTAGTTGGATTTATATTATAAATAAATTACTCTTAATTTAATAGTAAGTAATTTATAATTAATTTTATTAAAAATTTTAAACTGAGGATGGCGATCCTAGTGTAGTGGTTGGGTTGTCATCCTCCAAGTGGCAGGTCTAAGGTTCAAATCCCACCTACG